ATTCAGGGGAAAGATGGAGACGACTGACTACTGCATATGTGGCGCACTCTGTGATATCCGCTTGTACAACAGGGAAGTGTAAATTGGGAATTTCTTGGCTGGATTTATACTCTTCTTCAAAATCTATTTCAATAAAGCAGAGAACAAGAAAAATATGGTTTAAGTTATTTTTTAAGTACCAAGTAAAAGGCTGAATGAGAGTAAATTAATGAGAATTCTTAGATGTTTGAAAGTGTCGACATTTAGGTTTGATTATTAAAACAAAGTTTAGCCGTTGTTTAACAAAACCGCGTCCTAAACAATCCTTGCTTCAGTAGCTGAACCTTTTATCTGAGTATTATTCATTTTTTTGAACAGTGTCAAGAGGGCCGAAAGCTAACAGCGGAGAGACATTTATCGAATTAAATCAACCTTTAAAGACAAAAAACCTGAGGGGCACTGATTGCGCACAACCATGGTTACGGTTAGACCTCGTGTAAGTAGCCGGTCTTTAGTTTTTGCGCAAAATTAACATAAAGAAAACATCTTCGCACGCTTGAACGCTCCTTGATTTTGGTGTAAACGTCGCTCAACGATAATCGTCCATCATTATCAAGAATCGCTCTGAGAAAATGTCTTTAAAGCGTTTTAGTGTGTAGATATTTATTCCGTGTCTTCCATAAGCCATTTTAAGAGGGTAGCAAAAGTTTATACGTGATGGGTGATTAAGGCAACAAATTAAAATGTGACGCATGAACTTAACAGAAAGGCGAGCGGGATTCGTGAATTTTTAAACTAGTGTGAGGCATGATTTGCCTCCTAAAAATTATGTGCTCTGTTTTTTTTTGTTTTTTTGTTTTGTTTTTTTTTTTTGTAAAAAACCTCAGATTTCCCCAAAACCTTTAAATCAAGAAGAGAAATTTGAAGTTTTTCCTTAACACAAGTGACGTTTGAATTTTTCTAAAATTCTTGCGAGAAATGGGAGGAGAACCTTCTCTCCTCCCCTCTCCCCTCCTTTGCCACCCTTTGTTAAGATATTCCCAGATGCAGGTTTATCTCCCCTTCCCCCCTCCACCACGCCTTGTCACTCGTCTCAGACCTTCCACGCGTATGATATGGTGACGGAATATTCGCCGCGCTGAAGTTCGAGCTTGAAAACACATTCTACCACTTGCAAGCATGTTAGTTTTCTCACTGATCCACCAGTGGCCGACCAACACACTCAACGATACATCCAGTTCCTTATCTCTAATTTAACATTAGCAAATTTAAAGGCTATTACTCCAACCTGAGATAGTTCTGAATTCTTCCACACCAATCACTTCTTCCCATGCAGCAGTCTCGTTGTGGATCAGTTTGTACAACACCAA